TGGAGCTCCAGAGGAAAACTCCCCCCTTGTGCAGGATCCTGCTCCAGCAGAAGCACAGCTGGCACTGCAGGAGGGCTGAGCCCCCCTGGGATGGGGCTGTGGCACCTCCCTGACACACAGGGGGTCAGCTCCGTCCTCACTCTGGCAGTGGTTTGGAGTTTTTGTTTTGTACTATTGCATTTGTATTTTCAATTTTCCTGGTAAAGAACTGTTATTCCTATTCCCATATCTTTTCCTGAGAGACCCTTAATTTCAAAATCATAAAAATTCAGAAGGAGGGGGGTTACATTTTCAGTTTCAGGGGAGGTTCCTGCCTTCCCTAGCAGGCACCTGTGTGTTCAAACCCAGACACCTGGGGATGCTGGCACTCACAGCAGGGTGATGCACAGGGTGCTTAAGGAGGGATTTGGGGTGCTGCCTGCTCCCAGACTATAATTCATTAATCAGGAGCCTTGAGAGGGAGACAGAGACATTGGAGAATGATCAAAATCCCTGCAGACCTCATTTTCATGGACACATGGCAGAGGCAAAATGTGACATCATAAAACAAATTCCACCCTAACCAGGGATGCTTTTCCATTTTAATGACAAGCAGGAACTGTTTTTCAGATCTAAGTTCCACTCAAGCACCAACCCAGCCAAACCTCCATCCAACAATGGGATCTGTGTGCCCCCAATTATACTCCCACTCACCACTCTCCCTGACAATTCCATGGAAAGCCACATGGAGCCTGTTCCCAGTGAGGCTGGCAAGGCCAGTCTGTGCTTGCAGTGTATTTATTTTTATATAACCAAAAAAAATCAAGCATCCTTCTCCCAGCTGGCAGCTCTGCCATCCCCCTTGTGCTCCCACCCACAAGGAGTGCTCTGCTCCTGTGGGATCCAGGCTGCCCAGCCCTCACCTCAGGCCCCACAGATGCTGAAAGAGCTGCTTGCTGTCAACACCCTCACTGTTTGTTTCTTAACAGAAAGACACAACATAATTTTATGGAAAATGGATGCATGAAGAGAAGGATTTGATTCTCTGGATGTGGAGAATCAGGCTCCTGTGTGGAATTTAAACACATATTTTTGACAGTTTTCCTTTTATTCTTTGCCTGATCCTCTCAGTGTATCAGCATGTGAATAATCACACTCATAGCAACAAAACAGGTTCCTTCATGGCTGGAGATGTGTCCCATTGAAATGTCACTAAATCTCTTGGAGGGTTTTTGAAATAAAGGGGACACAGGGGGGTACCCCAGGAGGATTGATGTCCCTGCCAGGGCAGGGGGGTCAGTTTGTGCTGAACAGCCTCAGGAGGGGGCTCTGATTGCTAAAATCCCCTCTAACAACAACATGGCCTTGTTGTAGCCTTTTATTTTCAAAGCTCCACATGGAGCACTCAGGAAAGGCTGGGAAAATTGGGATTGTTCAGCCTGGAGAAGAGAAGCTTCGGGATGACTTCACTGTGGCTTTACAGGACCTGAAGGAGCCACAGGAGAGCTGGAGAGGGGCTGAAGACAAGGAATGGATGGACAGGACACAGGGAATGGTTTTCCACTGCCAGAGGGCTGGGATGGATGGGAGATTGGGCAGGAATTGTTCTTGGGAGGGTGGGGAGGGGCTGGGATGGAATTCCCAGAGCAGCTGGGGCTGCCCCTGGATCCCTGGCAGTGCCCCAGGCCAGGCTGGACAGGACTGGGAGCAGCCTGGGACAGTGGGAGGGGTCCCTGCCATGGCAGGGGTGGGATCAGATGGTTTTTAATATCCCTCCCAGCCCAACCATTCCACGATTCCATGATTCCCATACCATGGGAATGCCACTCCATATGCTCCATGCACATAAATCCTCTGGCTTGGCAGCACCAGTGATCTGCTTTGTTGGACTTAGAGGACAAATCTGGGGGGGGGGGAAATCTGGGATATGAAGAGGAGATGCCATGCTTTTCTTCTGGAAATACTCTGAAGGCTCCAAGCCGACCCTCAGCCAATTTAACAGCAGCAGTAAAAGCAGCTCAAGGCATGGTTAAACCTCAAAGGGATCCCTGAATTGTGCTTGACTTAATGAATCCAATAATCGATTCCTACAGCACAAATAAGGTGTGGGATGGATCAGCTAATAAGCATTCTCAGTTAATTGCTTTCTTCAAGTGACAATTTGTACAAATGATACCATCAAAGTAGTAATAATATCTCTATTGATTAAATTAATCTCAAAAAGACAACTCAAATAACTTTAATTAGCAATGCATGACACAAGCACAAAATACTCTGAAAACAACTTTACAGCCGATCCCAGACTTTTAAACTGTGGCAGCAGCCATGGCACAGACTTTGGCATCTTTATTCCAATAGATCCACACAATTTTATGGAGCATCTTTAGGGAATGTCTGTGACCAACCATGAAAAGCCATTAAGCCTGTCTGCAGAGCACAAGAGCACAGGCAGCCTCCCCACTCAGTCACACTCACTGAAACCCACAAACAGCCCCAAAAGAAATGAAAACTTTCCAGCAGGAGGAGCAGGGATGGGGAACGAAGTCTCTGTGCCAAAATTCCCACTTGGAGCCGCCAGGGACCTGCAGCAGCACTTTCAAACCACGAGAATTGGGCACCAGGTTGATGAAATCAGAGCAGAAACTCCTCCAGAAGAGGAAAGGGTTAAAGAGTTGGCCCAAAGCTTGTGCAGCGAGAGCTGAGCTGGGCCAGGAGGAGGGGACACAGCAGCCAGAGCTCCCCAGGATGAGGGAATTGCAGATGTGGAATGCCAGAGTGACACCCAGGAGCCCAGGGCCACCCTGAGAATGGTGACAGAGCTGGGTTTGGGGCTTTTAGGGGGTTTTAAGAGGCTCCTGCAGGACTTAATTCATTTTTTCTCTCTGAACTCAGCAGCTGAAAGAAACGTAAGGCGCAGATATTTCCCCACAACAGGCACAGTACAGCTCATTTTACAGCACCTGCAGAACCATGAAATTCTTTAGGTTGGGAAGTTTCTCTGAGATCTTTGAGTTCAACCATGCCCCCAGATCTGCCAAGGCCACCAGTGCCACCAGCACCGTGTCCCCAAGTGCCACATCCCCACTGCTAAACCCCTCAGGGATGGGACTCCCCCAGCCTGCAGCACATTAATAAAACCAAACCCTTGTACATGGCTTTGGCCCTTCCAGGTTAGTCCAGCCCAATCTTCTTCACTCTTTATTTCCATTTGTTATTCAGATTCCTCAATTTAACTCCCCATGACAGGTTAGCCTGTGCTTTTGCCTGAAACACTGCACATTTTCCTTGTCCTTCTTGTAGCCTCAATGGATTTATTATTAATTTTTGTCCTTTGGGCAGTTCTAGCTTTGGATTTTTCAGATATTTTGGTGCCAAAACTGCTGCCAGGATTTGAGGTGAGGCTGTTCCAGTGCAGAGCAGAGAGGGACAATCACATCCATAAAGCATTTAAAAGTGCTCCAGGATTCTCAGAACAATGATGGAATTTGCACCGTCATAAAAAACAAACACTTTCTGGATTTATTTTCATCCAGAAATCACTGAAACAATCAAGGAACCCCCAAGTTACTTTTGGGACTCCAGCCACTTATGAGGCAAAACAGCAAAACACCCACAAACAAATTTTTGGAGCTCAAGAATCTTTAACATTCTACTTTCTGTGCAGCCTCACGAGGCAAATTTCTAAGTATTTTGGCTCTCAAAATCACCAGTAATTTAAAAACCTTGACCAGAAAACACAGCACGAGTGTGAAAATGTATGGCTTGGAAACCCAAGCTTGGGAAAGTCACTTGGGGAAGAGAAGGTTGTTTTGTTTTGTTGGTTTTTTTCTTCCCCACAAGGATGTTTATTGGCCTTTCTAAAAAAAATCCAGCACGTGAACAAGAAGAAGACAAATGCTCATCACCTTCTCTGAGCCATCCATCTGATTTACCAGTTAAGAAGCCAATCTTCAATGAAATCACCGCAAACCAGACAAATTAGCTGAAATTATTGTGCTAAGAGCAGCTCCACAATGAGACCAAAAATCCCAAATCCAAACAACCCAGGAGAGGCACGAGAGAAGCTGGATTTGGAGAGGGATTTCTGCACCCCACTGCAGGATGAGCAGTAATTACTTCACAAGGAGAGGAGCTCTGTGGCCCATTGAAGGCCTTTAATTCTTTAATTTCCCCTCCCTTGTTTAAGTGAGATTATTGCTCCCCATAGCCAACAACAACAGATTTCCTAAGTTTCCTGTGCCTTGCCAGCAAAGCAAATATGCCCTTTGGTAAATCTCTGAGCTGAACAATGATTTTTCATTTTTACAACAGCACAATCAATGCAATTTTCCAGTTAGAAGTCTCCAGCCTCCCCCTATCAGCTTATTAATGCACAAGTGTACTCCAAACCATGCCTGGAAGAATTTCCACAGACTCTGCCATCCCAGGTTACTCTGAAAATGGAATTCATCACTTATGAATCACTTCAGTGTGTGTAAACACTTGAATCACTAAGCCAGATCTAATATTGTACACAGCAATCAAGGGATGTTGTCAGGGGGAGGCACTGAGGCAGCTCTGAAATCCTGCCTTGTAGAGTTTTACTGTTCAGAGCAGGTTTTGTGCTTGTGAACACATTTTGTTTGCAGATGCTCAATGCCTGGGAAATATTTGCAGGCTTTGTGTCTTCGTGAGACACTCACAGGAGCCCCAAACCCTGTTCACCCAACTGTGTTTTCCCTGCTATTAAAGATCCCTGTAACTTCCAGCGACACTGTGACAATGCAGACAGCTTCAAGCTGGAAATGCCATTTCATTCCAGCAGCTTTTTGCATCAGGTCACACAGATTGGAATCCGAGGGAAAAAAATTAAACTCATCCCCAAAACTGCATCATTTTTCTTCCGTACGGTGGAATTAAAATGCTGTGAATGCCAGCACCTCCCAGCTCCCCTGAAGGACCTCAGGAACTGTTCAACTCAGTGACAGCTCTGGGCTCCTGAGAACACCAGAGGTGACATTTTGCTGCCCAGTGGCACCCACCTTGATGCCCAGCTCGATGTTCTCCCCTCCGTACACGTCCATGCCCGGGTCCAGCAGCCCGATCTCCCCAAAGAACTTCCTGTTGACCACGAAGGAGCAGCCGATCATGGCCGGGGTCCTGCAGGGGACAGAAGCACAGGGATGACATTTAGGGACACTGCCCCATCTCTGCTGGCCCACGGGCTCATTGCTGCTCAGCTGCTGGGTTCAGCTGCCTCCCAGCACTGCTCATCCCAAAGATTTCATGGCAATGTGCCTTGGAAGACATTGTTTTAACACTGCAATAAATGGTCCAAAATGCAGGCTCATTTCAGGCTGTGCAGACTGGAGAAAGGTTTTCCTGGAGATAAATTGTGGAGGAGCTCTCAGGTTGTGCTTTACTGGAAATACCTCAGGGTGTCTGTGGGCAAGGGCACAACTCTGCCATAAATGAAGGAAATACAAAAATGGCCTTTCCCTTTGTCTTAGGTTAGAAATGGGGTTGTTATTCTATAGCCACCTGTCAGAGCTGGGGCAGTTCTCTGTTATTCATGGGGCAGTTTTCTTTATCTCTCCCACAGCCAATCCTCCCTCCAGGAGATCTCTGCTGTTCATGGGCTATTAATTATTAATTATTTTCTGTTCATGGCCACTGAGTGTCCCTGCATAGCTGAGAAAATTCCATCATCCATGGGGAGATGCTCCACCCAGGGGAGGAGCCAAGCATTCCTACCTGGATCCAATCTGACCTGGGAACAGCACAGCAGCCTCTGCCCCCTGCATTCCCAGAGGAGCAGCTTCCTTCCCCCTGCATTCCCAGAGGAGCAGCTTTCTTCCCCCTGCATTCCCAGAGGAGTAGCTTTCTTCCCCCTGCATTCCCAGAGGAGCCCAGGCCCATCTCCCCCAGCCCTGGAGCTCCAGAGGAAAACTCCCCCCTTGTGCACGATCCTGCTCCAGCAGAAGCACAGCTGGCACTGCAGGAGGGCTGAGCCACCCTGGGATGGGACTGTGGCACCTCCCTGACACACGGGGGGACAGGGCCTATTCTGACTCTGGCAGTGGTTTGGAGTATTTTTTTTGTACTATTGCATTTGTATTTTTAATTTTCCTAATAAAGAACTGTTATTCCTATTCCCATATCTTTGCCTGAGAGCCCCTTAATTTCAAAATTGTAATAATTCAGAGGGAGGGGGTTTGCATTTTCCATTTCAAGGGAGGCTCCTGCCTTCCTTAGCACACACCTGTCTGTTAAAATCAAGACAATTATGGAGGAGCTCTCAGGCTCTGCTTTGTTATTATTATGTTCTTTATTATTAATATTTGGAAATACCTTGGGGTGTCCGTGGACAAGGACACAACTCTGCCATAATTGAAGGAAATACAATAATGGAAACACAAGAATGGCCTTTCCCTTCTCTTACTTCCAGGACGTCTGGAATGGAGTAGACTTTAGGATGGGTATTTTTAGGGTATTCCAGGAAAGAGCGTTTCCAGTTGGAATCACAAAGGAGCCATGGCCACCAGCAACAAGCTCACTGCAAATATGTAGAAGCAAATCCTTTAAAAACTGTTTGGAGAAGCATCTGTGGGGTCATTTCCCAGTTCTCCCAGTATCTAGCAGGGCTCTGGGTGAGGGATCAAGCTGTCACATCCATCCTGCACCTTGTGCCCTCCAACCCAGAGCTCTCAAACAACCCAGAAAACTGAGAACATCAATGGAATAGCACAAGCAGAGAGGAAAAACATAGTGCCAGGAGTTAATTTGTCATAACTGTGCAATTCTAAGGGCATTATAGATGGTTGTGTTTACTAATGACCCTCATTACTCACAAACCCCTGGACCAGCTGCTCCAGCTGCCCTGAGATGAGGATGCAGCTCTGATTCACACGCTCTGAGATCACATTTCAGGGGATTTTTGAGTGCTTAGCCCTTCTGACCCTCTCCATACAATTGCACTTTGCCCAGAGCCCAGCACTGAGCAATCCCACGTGGTTCTGCTCGGGGACACTCTCAGCTGCTGCTGCCATGGTGTGTGCACAGTGTGCCCCTGGGATATTCCCTGTGCTGGAACAGAAACAGAAAAAGCATTCTCCCATTTGCCTGCTGCTGTTTGAATCCATGCTGTAAAGAAAAAACCCGGGACCCACCCAGTCCAGCAGGGTGAATTTTACAGCGAGGTCCTGCCAGAGTCTGATTTTTTGGGAGCTCCAGGTGATGCCTTGTGAAGGCTGACCTAGAACAGACACTAGACAGAGCTAAAGAATAAAGTAGGGATTTATTTTAAAGGCTTCCACAGATCCACCTTGGGCAGCACAACCCAAAATGGTCACAAAATCCCTGCC